ATTTTAATGACAAAAATAAATTAATTCCTATATAACGGTAATGAGTGTAAAAGACCAATTATCTTTGACTATTTTGAAATCATTCAGATCAGTGTTCTATAATGCTTTAAAAATTATGCATTAAAAACTAAAAGTAGGGGCCGGCAACGCGGACCGGGCCAGCTAGTATATATATATATATATATATATATATATATATATATATATATATATATATATATATATATATATATATATATATATATATATATATGTATAATCAAATAAATCCCTAGGGTTGGAGGGAACATCAACAGTATCTCGTGTAATAATTTTCAAATCGATATCTTCATTATCTGGAAAATATAAAGATTTTAGATAAATGAAAATAGTGAGCGTAAAAGTAGGCGTGGTCAACATTTTTTTCTTTAAAAACCTAACTCGAGATATGACAAACGTTTGTACAAAAAATTATGCAAATCGATCCAGCCGTTCTCAACTGATTCCATTACCAACGAACAACAATTGATTTATATATATATATATATATATATATATATATATATATATATATATATATATATATATATATATATATATATATATATATAGATTTAAGCTATTTTTGGGGTCTTGGCCACTTTTTTCATTTTATGGCCCTTATTTGGCATCTTTGTTTCTAAGGGGGTAGAGAACCTCTTCGCATAAAATTTAAACATTTTCAGAGTAGGGCCCATATTGGTCTTGACCACATTCATCAATTGATTTGGCTAAAAAAATTGTGCTTATGCTACCCTGGGGTAGGGAACCATCATACAGATAATTGCCACATAGGAATTTATTTAAGTAATGTCCCCACATTGGAGTATCCCCAAGTCCACTTTCACATCTAATGTGTTGTCAGAAAAGAAAATTTTGTATTCTATTGAATTTGTAACCCCCAAGAGAATATTGGTTGGGAACGTTGATTTGGGATGTACATCTATATGAAATAAATTGTGAAAACATGAACATATTACAAATATAAGAAAGTAACACGGGACCGAATACTTGTGAATCGTCATTAAATTATACTATGATGAAAAATATGGACTTTATGGGGTCTCCAACTTACAATTTAAATGGCAAGTAAAATTAATTCCCATCGTACGGTAATGTGTGTAAAATAGTAATTATAATAATTTAATCACGCGAAATTTTTTTCAGTTTGACATGCTATGTTGTTCTGCTATATTTTTCATTTGGCCTCTATTTGTCATCTTGGATTATAAGGGGTAGAAGAAAGTTTTCAATGTTTCGATGTTTCGGAGTAGTGCCCATATGAAGGTACCTCCTGATTTTACCATATTTCAAATGTTTTGGCTAAAAATGTGTATTTGGGGGGTGAAAATCTTACACAAAAATTTCAACATATCTACAAAATTTAGAATTTCTACAAATTTTAGAATTTTTTCCATGTAATAGTACCCCCTCAAGTCCATCTTTTGGCGGACAAACAGACCGACATGGTTAATCGGACTTATGAGGACTATAATGCACAATCTGAGGTTTTAATCGGTTTAAAAAAGTAATTAACTTTAGATATTCTTCAATCATTCAGCCCTCAATTATGAGGTGTACAAAATACAGTAAATTCCAAAATTACTGCTCATTTGACTGGAAAATTTTGCTACAATTTAGATTTGTTAGCACATCCACACATTTGAAGCCCACGGCTTAAAAATGGGTACAGGTATTTTAAAATACTTTCAATCGACAAGTACGTGAACTCTTATATCGGTCATATCTGTCAATAATTATGCTTTGACAAATACGCATAATAGACAAAAACTACGGGCCGGCAACGCGGACCGGGACAGCTAGTATATATATGTATATATATTTTAGATATATTAGATATATTAGATCCAAATGCATTTACATTTGCTATACACTTCTGCACAAATGTTACCTTTGTGTTTGACCGAGGCATTTGTCTATATGTACCTCTCTCTGTCGTGCTGATTGGTATTCAAAAAAAAAAAAAATGCTAGACTTCCGCCCCGTCCTTACCTTTCTCCTCATGCAAAATTCTGTGTCATTGGTTTTTAATTGTGACATATAGAGCGACTGCAATCAGGTAAAATTCAAAGCAATTGGCTTTTATTCTGACCCTAACCCTACCTCCATGATAATTGCGACCTGAATATAATACCCACATAGTACTGCAGGGTGTAAAACATATTACAAAATATACAAATCAAAATTATAAGTCAATCGCATACGATAAAAAAATTGATAAAAATATGCACTTTTTATTGGCATATTTTTGGGAGATTTTCTTAGATTATATCCTTTTATGGCAAGGGGCCATTTCGAATTGGTGGGAATAGTCAAAATCAATTTTTCAACATTGTCCGATGACCAAACAAAATGTTAGGCTTATGTTCAACACTAAACGCTAGCCCCAGCTAAATTCCGCGCCAATTGGTTTATAATAGCGACCTGTAGAGCTGCTACAAAATCAGGCATAATCAGTAAAGAAAATCTTAATGTCGGGCGGGGCCGAATTTATGATACCCTACATCACTTTGCGTATTTAGAAGAGCTTCACATAAGAGCATTATAAGTCCAAAGGAACAAATATGTGGGGGGAATATCTTCCTCTGAATCGATTTCTACTAAATTTGCCGAGACATTTTCAATTCGATTTGTTCACATTTAAATGCTGGAGTGCTCTAACGATAGCCAAATATAAAGAAACCACAATATCACGCTTAAATTCCACAACGAATAACTTTTTTCTTGAAATTTCTTACCAAAATGCATTTGTACGCTTGTAAACAATATAATGAACTGTCACTGGAATAATTTTAACAGCTGTCGGACGAGTGTTTGTGTGTGAGTTTTTTTATCTCACCCTGTATTTGACTGGAAGACCACAAGTGGCTCTCGTTAGAGCACTCCAGCATTTAAATATAAAAAAATAAATCTTTCGTGTCTCGTACCATCGCTCGTTACCGTGATACTGGTAGCGTAGCCCGACGTCAAAGAAGTGGACGGAAGAAAACAGTAACATGAACAGAAATGGTTCGAAAAGTAAAGAAGCGACTTGATCGAAACCCGGGTCGCAGTGACCGAAAAATGCCTCGTGAGCTGAACATATCACAATATTCCATTCGGCAAATATTGAAAAATGAGCTCGGGGCAAAGCGATTAAAATTCCAAAAAGTGCAAGAACTTACAACGCAACAGAAAGAAAATAGACTCAAAAGAGCTAAAGAGTAGCTTCGCTTGGCCGAAAGCGGTGAAATGTCGAATTTGGTTTTCTCCGTTGTCCAGCAGTTTGTAAACAAACAAAATGATCGTGTTTACTTGCCAAAGAGGTCAACTGCAATGGTTGGCTCAAACGCCGGCCATGGTGATGGCGTTGGCCGCCATAACACCGATGGTCGATCTCCGCTCGTATTAATCGACCGTAACACCAGAATAAATGCCGAATATTATAGCGAAAATATTCTGCAGGGTGAATGAAAGCCTTGGGCACGCAATCATTTTGGACGCAGACACTCAGCACGCGCCACTCAAAAATGGTTACAAAATGAGGTTCAACCCTTCATATATATATATATATATATATATATATATATATATATATATATATATATATATATATATATATATATATATATATATATATATATATATATATATATATATATATATATATATATATATATATATATATATATATATATATATATATATATATATATATATATATATATATATATATATATATATATATATATATGGGAGATATACATATCTAAATTTTGACCGATTATTTATTACATTATTATTTTTTATTATATATAAATAGGGTTCATCCTTGGGCCAAACAAATAATTTGTGCAAAATTTCATCTAGATCGCAATAAATGCAATAAATGCGACCTTTACTTTGTTTACAAAAACACATGGACATACGGACAGACAGACGGACGGACATGCATTAATCGACTCAGAATGTGATTTTATGCAGATCATTAAACGAAACTATGGGTCTATCTCGTTTCCTTTTGTCTGTTACAAACAAATGTACAAAGACATAATACCCTAACCACCTTGAGGTGTAGGGTATAAAAAGGACGTATTCGATGTTATATACTTTAATGCAAAATTCAACTATTTAAACAAAATTTACATTTGACAATTTATGGATAATTTTTAAATAAAAAATTGCAATCGTATGAAGTTGGAAATTGTGTCATGATTATAAGCTTTGAGTCAAAGATATTTTCATTAGTTGTAGTACATATTTTTTATTTATTTAATAAAAACAACTAATCTTATTAATCTATGTCTTTTAAGCATTATAAATAGAATATGTTTACTAAATTTATACTTTGTATTGAAAAATTAAAATAGTTTCTAATCTGGATTATATGTATATATATATATATATATATATATATATATATATATATATATATATATATATATATATATATATGGGAGATATACATATCTAAATTTTGACCGATTATTTATTACATTATTATTTTTTATTATATATAAATAGGGTTCATCCTTGGGCCAAACAAATAATTTGTGCAAAATTTCATCTAGATCGCAATAAATGCAATAAATGCGACCTTTACTTTGTTTACAAAAACACATGGACATACGGACAGACAGACGGACGGACATGCATTAATCGACTCAGAATGTGATTTTATGCAGATCATTAAACGAAACTATGGGTCTATCTCGTTTCCTTTTGTCTGTTACAAACAAATGTACAAAGACATAATACCCTAACCACCTTGAGGTGTAGGGTATAAAAATGACGTATTCGATGTTATATACTTTAATGCAAAATTCAACTATTTAAACAAAATTTACATTTGACAATTTATGGATAATTTTTAAATAAAAAATTGCAATCGTATGAAGTTGGAAATTGTGTCATGATTATAAGCTTTGAGTCAAAGATATTTTCATTAGTTGTAGTACATATTTTTTATTTATTTAATAAAAACAACTAATCTTATTAATCTATGTCTTTTAAGCATTATAAATAGAATATGTTTACTAAATTTATACTTTGTATTGAAAAATTAAAATAGTTTCTAATCTGGATTATATGTGGAAAAAACTTTTACCATTATTATATCTTTGCTGAGATATACTGTTGGCGTTAAATCGATATCTTAACAATAGACCCTATAGTGTGGATGTGTGTGTTCTATATTTATGGTAGATTGTGATTTTGTACACTGTCTGGAAATAAACAGCATACGCTTTCTGATATTATATTCACTACTTATTGTATTAAACAAATGAGATTTTTGATTCAAAATTAAACTATTATGTTACATGGACACTTGTGTACACAAATACGTTCTTATCAACAATGCTGGGTAATTACATATCCGACTTACTCCTACATACTTATGTATATTTACATACAAAAAACAAAAAGAAGATATATATTTTTAGCCTAGAGAATTACTATGAAATGCAATTACAATGTACTGTTCGGACTTAGCCCCCGTGTATGCAATGGGGCATAAGTAAGCATTTGAAACGCTAATGTAGATGGGAATGTTGCCGGTTTTATCATTTTTTATCGTTGTCCAATTTGTTTTTGTCCAAAGACGAGGAAACCATTCCACCTCCATTGGATGGATACAATTTCTCCAAATAATTGAGAGATTCGTTGAGGAAAGTCTGAAAGTAAAAGAGTACATATTTCATATTGCAGGAATGTGGTATAACAATGCAAGTTACCTGGAAGGCATGGAGAACTGCCATAATGGCAGGTGAACCAAATCCATGTGTAATTAATGAAAAATGTGTTAAATGTCGTTGCATTGAGGGCTCTAATAGATGCTGCGATCGTGTTCCGTATTGTGTCGTGCGATCCTGGCTAAGAACTTGCATGAGTTCCTTAGTAATCTGCGGGAAAGTACTTATTATTGTTGGAAACGATATAATTATTTCTATCTATAAACTAAATATTTCTTTTATACCCCTCATTATAGTATGCAGGGTATATTACGTCTGTCATTTCGTTTGTAACACATCAACATATACTCTTTAGACCCTACAAAGTATATATATTCTTGATAAGATTTATAGTCTTTTGGTTGTATTAGTCATGATTTTAACCCGAATTTGCTGTAAATTGGCAGTTTGTGTTCCTAGTATGTAGGAAACATCCTTTCATAGAACTGAGTTCCTATATAACCCTAGGTAGAGTCCCCATATAACACTACCTCCAGACATTTCTTTTGGTGTTTTGAGTTCGTAATAAGCACCATCTTATCTGAAAGATAACTGGATATATAGGCCCATGTTTTAGTATAAGTCCTGTAAAAATGTATAATTTAGATAGTTTTTAAAAAGTGACGCAAATCGAAACGATGTATATCGAGTTTCGAATGCACATGGTTTGTAGTTAATAAGCACATATATATTTTTTGAAAAATATTTTTAAGGTTAAAAAAAGTTGAAAGCACAAAAATAATTTCATGATAACATGATCAATGTTATCTTTTACAAAATAAATAAATGAAAAAATAAATTAAAATAATAATTCATAAGGCATTTCAATGATATTTTAGATGTCCAGTATATAGTATATGCAATTTCAACTTAAAATGTATGTACAAGATCCAACATAATCTAATGTGTAACACAGCCTCAATTGATCAAACATATATATATATATATATATATATAATTATATATATATATATATATATATATATATATATATATATATATATATATATATATATATATATATATATATATATATATATATATATATATATATATATATATATATATATATTTCTTGCCATGAAATATATTGAATAATTAAAGTCTAGTTTTAATATTATGAACATTTTAACGCAGGTGTAAACCAAAGAGGGCCTTAGTCAGCCAATCGTTTTAACATTGGTACGGAGCTATTTAAAGCGGAATTGTGCTTTTCAACTAATATATGGAAAACACATCTATCGCAATAAAGTAATTGGCGGAAAAATCAAGCTGTTCGAATTCAACCGAGAATATTGCTATTATTGTTATCCTCAACATGTGACTGTTTGGTGCCATTTATAGTCCGGTTGGGTCATTAGATCTTACTTTTTATACCCTCCATCATATTATTAACATAGTCATTCCAGTTGTACCTCCTCGAAATACTCCCCTAAACCCTACAACGTAAAATTCGTGCATTTTGTTATAGAACAGGTCAAGTTCGTAAATGAGCAACATCGGTACAACCCGAAATAAGCCTTTAACAGAATTGTATATCGGTATATTGAGTTCGTAATGGGTTCTTCCTCCTGCGGCATAACATTGTCCGTTTTCTTATAGCCTCAATATAACGGTACCTCCACATATTCGGTATTTCGACCGGTATTTAAACCACGTTTTCTAACGGATTTGTCTAAAATTTGATATTTATTCTTCGTAATGGTAGTTCGTAGTAAAGGCCTGCACAAGACGAATTGTATGAATTATGCTTTTTTCGACACACTGACTTTGTCTACTCAATCATGCGCTATGTATTTGATAGGCAATGACAACCAACAACATCCCCAATTTTGATTCATGTGTGTCATTGTCTAAGGTTCGATCGTGGCATGGCTGACTCGAATATTTGCATGGTGTTCTCCATAAATGCAGGGTGTCAACGATGACATCGAACCGTGTCATCGTCAAATTGTGTGTCATTTGTGTACGTGTGCTTAAATTGAGAGTGTGTGTGTGTTACTTTCGACGGTGAGAGTGTGTTTTTGTGTGTGCTGTAATTTTGAAGTAACAAACACGGCGTAAATATAAAATTGAGTACAATAACAAAAAATGCATAGACATCAACAAATGAATAGAAAAAATGAAATATATACTTAATAATCCCAATTTATTGGTGATTATCATAAAATGTTGGTCATAAAATAGAGGTAAATATTGTTTGCCTATTTTCTATCTACATATAGTGTTCTTTTAAAATTAAAGTTTGTGGCAGAGATTTGACTCTCATTCAATAACAGAATATGCACAGAATTGAACAATGCAAGTATATAGTGTTGTTACGTGAATTACAGTAGCACTCATTCTCATTTACACCTCAATACCGGCGGCAAACATTTATGAAATTATAATCAAAATAAGAAAAATTTTCAGGGGATTATTGTTTTGTAATAAGGATTAACATTTTAGATTGTTTCGTCAATAACCACGAAATGTGAAAATTTTGTGTGGACCAATTAGAAGTGCCTTTAATATTTTTGTATTCGCCAAGAAATTCTTTATTACAAAAAAATTATTTTTTCACATATCGGAAAAGCAGGTAGCGATTGCGCTTTGCCTTCATCACGTGTGTGTCTTTTTCGTTGGAAATTGTTTCATAATTTTTTTTTTTTTTTTTGATAGAACATTTTTGTATGACACACTATTCAACATTCCCTTTTATTGGTCATTACATGTTATGACGATGGGTTTGAGTGTGACCGACATGACGAGACATCGAGCATTTGGGTGGATGTCACGTACTGTTATGCGTTTGATCAAACAGGGCACAACATGACGAGCGTTTTCTCTCCATGGCATAAATAGAGAAAATTGTCACATTTGCAGCCCTTTAGTTCGTAGTTCGGTGACAGAACATTGGCCCAGTTTTATGGCCCAGATTTATGGCGCTTCACTGTATACTCCAACTGATTTCATTTGAAAAATTGCAGCAAGCTCGAATATGAAATCCCTATATTTATTTTAATGGTATTGTATCAATTTAATTCTTCTTTAATAAATTTCTTCTTTGGTGAAAGATAAGGTATACGCCAACAGCCCAGTGTCTATTCAAGTCATCAAATATGGAATTCGTCAGGCTATCTCGGAAATAATCACTTTGCGATAAGGATTTCCAAAAATTCAAGAAAACAAGTTAAAAAGCAGTAAGTTCGGCCGGGCCGAACCCTTACCATTTGGAACGAATGTGGAAATAAAATCCTTAAAAAATTCTGTTCTAATTTTAAAAATACCGAATATAGCCGTTATATTGGTGTCAATACGACGTGGAATTACATAGGTATTGTACCAAATTCAAATTCGAAACTTGAAATAAACGGTGAATAATGTAGCTAAAATCATGAAAATATCGTATATAGGGAGGTACCGTTATATCGGACCTGTGCGAAGACCTGGACCAGCATAGACAATTTTCTGTCATATGCTTAGCATCCAATACGAACTTCAAATACGACATCTCAAACAATTTCGTTGAGTATTGCACCTAAACTCGTCAAAATACCGAATATAGGGATGTACAATTCAATTCTGGTGAATAATGACGCTAAAATCACCAAAATTCCGAATATAGGGAGGTACCGTTATATGGGGGCTATATGAAGACGTGGACAGACAACTTTCTGTCTTAATGTCGTACATGGCCCATTTACGAACTTAACCTGCCTACTGAAAAATAAACATATGTGCAAAAATTTTGCCTTCTATCTCAATTCGTTCGAAAGATAGCGTGATTACAACAGACATACGGACATCGCTAAATCGACTTAGATTTTTGCGCTGATCAAGAATATATATACTTTGTTGGGTCTGACATGAGTATTTCGAGGAGTTACAAACGGAATGAAAAAAAGTATGTCTTAAAGCGACTTCTTGGCTTATATTGTTTACCATTATGAACAGCATTCGCCCCTCTTATTCAAATATCTAATCGTTTATTTCATAAATAATGTTTTTCTTTAAATGTTAAAATAACATACATTATTTTCTTCTGTCATCTGATCGCATTGAAATGTTTCTCTTTTAATAACAACTACTTACGCCATTCTTCAGGTTGAGTTTTGTTGGTACGTGCTTGATTTATTATTTACCTGTTGTGAGTGTAGTAACAGTTCCTTCCTTCTATACGAATCTTGGGGTTCTGTGTTGTGTCTTACAATGTACTCCGCAAGTTGTCGGGCAGGAAATTCCGTTTCACACACAAAGTGAAAATCCTTCGCTAAATGCGCCGCTTCTCCTTCCACTAATGATGTCAACAGGGTTACGTTTGCTGCTTTGCGTCTCCCGGCAGGTAGATTCAATCCAATTTTCTCCAGTTTTTCTCGCAGAAGCCTGCCACCATTCTTACTCTTAGCTCTATAACGCAGATGGAAATGTTATGGTAATACATGATTCTGTATAATATAGACATGAATCTAGTACAACATACCTCCTTAAAACACCACCCAGCAGGGATGCATTAAGACATTCAGGGGGAGATAGCCTTCTTTGCACTTCAGCAATTGTTACCTTATATTTCGAAGTGCTGGACAAAAGACTCAAACGACCGGGGACGGCGCAAAACACCTCGCTGGGCGAACCTGAGCTAATATTTCCTACATCCTTCCCACTTTTCATACCTACAAAAGAAATACAATTCCAATGTTTTCACTCGCACATACTAAAATGGTCTATTATTACGGAAAACAGCATTGACGATCATGTCGAGCAATCCTGCCAATTAGAGGTCATGTTACATTTCACAAATTTTAAGATCTTCCTCTCGCAATGTGTTGTCACACAAATTAGATTTATACTTTCTATAGTTTGTTGACTGGCTGAAGTAAATTCAATCAACCCCAAAAACACATCCGGTTGTTGATTTATAAACGCCCATATTTTCTTGCTCAAATTTTCTCACAACGTGAATAAAACCACAACAATGACTGTTTTTAGGTGATCGACATGGAGAAAAAAAGTAGCGGAGTGAATAATAAGGTATATATATATACTTACTTTTAATTAGAGGTAGATCTGACATAAAGGCTACATTGTCATCCATTCCTGGGTTTTGGCCGTCGTCAACGGCATTTTGAAGAGCTTGGTGTAAAGCCAGGGGGTCATGATCATGTGCGAGTCGTCCTCCATGTGCTCCACCAGTTGATATCGAACCTCCGTAATCTCCACGACGGTCTGAATATGGAAATCCATGCGATAGTTGTGTCTACAGAAAATGATTTGACAGAATAAATCAATATACCTTCATTAAGTCATTAAGGATAAGACATTTTCTAAAACAATAATGACATAATGATGCAATTTTTCTGACTAATTTAAAATGTTCTATAACTTTAGATGAAACATTGTAATCTTAAGTCTTACATAATGTTATTAAAATTCTATATTTATAATAATAACAAACAAGTCTCAACAAATGGAACCTTAGAAGATTTATACTCAGAAATTGTGACGTATATGACATACTTTTCCCACAAATCATACATACGTCGAGAAAGTCGTAAACCTAGGCATATAATAAAAGTTTTTTGACAAAAACGCGGTGATTGAATATTTGCCAACTTGAGAAATCGTTTCACATGTTTCATAAACAGCAGCCTTCTGGCAGTGAAACTAGTTTGGTTGCATTGTTTAAAGCTAGAACGACAATCAATTAATGCAGTTATTCTTTATAATAAGTAAAACAGCTGTAAGTTCGGCCGGTCCGATCTTTGAATATCCTCCACCATTTGGAAAATCTTAAAAATACCGAATTTATTCGTCATATTAGGGTCTATACGACGACGTGGGCCTCCTTAGGCAACTTTTGTCATAAACCATTACAATACTCAAATGCGAAACTTGAATAAAAAATTCAGTGAATAATGTAGATAAAATCATCAAAATACCGAATATCGGGAGGTACCGTTATATGGGGGCTATATAAAGACGTGGACCTGCACACACAATTTTCTGTCATAGGCTGCAGTATCCATTACGAACTTAAAATACCAAATTTGAAATATTTCCGGTGAATAATGTCGCTTAATCACCAAAATACCGAAAAAGGGAGGTGCCACTATATGGGGGCTATACCAAAACGTGGAGCTGATCAAGAATATATACTTTGTGGGGTCTAAAATGTATATTTCGAGGTGTTACAAATGGAATGACAATATTAATATACCCTCCATTCTATGGTGGAGGGTATGAAAAGAACAACAGTTTCAAGCTGGGCTAATTTGCAACAAAAACAAAGGGGCTCAATTCTTGCTCTATGAAAATCATAATAAAGGTGACAAATGTCAATTGAAAAATTCGATAAAGAAAATATTTTTCATATTTTCATAGAACAAAAATCCAGTCTCCGGTTTCAAACTTTCGGGTGTAACTTAGCTAGATTTGGAAAATATACCCGAGGAAACTATTATTATTATGGTCAGCGTTTATCAACCAACTTGGGACGTATTATGTGGGATATTAAAATATTTTAGAAATTTATGACGTTATATACTTTTTCTACGTTTTATACAACTTTTTTATTTTCGAAAACCTAAAAAAACTGTCAAAATGGTAATTTATGATTGAGACTGTTTGCATAACTAAATATTCTTTATTAATTTGTCTCCAATCATTATTATTTGAACAAGACATATCGTATGAATTAAGTGGTTATTTTCTGACCACTCGACCACAGATCGATAACTAAGTTCTTTAATCGAATTTTTGTACCCAGATAATTAAATATTTGGTTGTTAACCACACTTGAAATGAAAAATGGTTTTGAGAATATCGATAAAAGAAAACTATTTAGGTTTCTACAATATTGAAAACAACAACTATAAAAATAATTTTAAATTTCAGAATTATTTTAATTTAAAGGTTAACCAAAGAATATTCAGGATCTCGGTAATCCTGCTCCATCGGTCGAACTCCATTTTGGTGTCATAAAAATGTAGATCTAGTGTTTGTTTCAGCCATTCTGTCTTCCGACTTGAGATACGGTCTTGAAAATGAGCAAATATATGCCTTTTGATTGCCCTCATATTTGTGTACAGAATTTATTCTGTTTTGTACTTGAGATTATAAAGGGTAAGCAACTAGAAGCTGGCACACTGAGTATGTTTTTAAAGTTCACGTTTTGAAATATCCCCCATGAAACGTTACCTCCTCATATAACATGTAAAGGTACCTCGTTATTTTTATAGTTTTCGCAACAGTTTTGAACGAAATTGTCTGAAACTCGATGTATACTTTATATTGATGTATATTTTAAATTCACAATAAACAAATGAAAGGAAATGCATAATTCAATGGTCCATTTTCTAAAGCAACTAAATAATGGTGTCTTTCATTCGCTAATTAGATAATTTAGATAGCAATGGCACATTTTCGACGGAAATGTCAGGTAGTCAGCGGATTCTTCGCTATTTCAAAATTTTAATCGGTAACTGATCTTCTGGAATAGTCTTAGTATAACGTTATCAAATATTCATGTTTCTCCCCACATTCCTCATTTTTCTATGTATTTTGGTATTCAGATTTTATTGGCTTTAATTGGCATTAAGGATTTTTAGAGAACAAAAATGTATCTATTTCGTTCGATAGTTGGGATGTACTATTTAACTAATGGCGTTAACGCCCTATATAAGGGGTAACCCTATTACGCGGTTGAGATATTTGCTGTTAATTGCCGTAATTGGTATGTAGTTCATACACACACTTGAAAAAGTGTCCTTAGATATATTAAAATCATATGAAATTTGAATGCTGTACGACATTGCTTCTGCATTCAGAATGGTAACACTGTTTCATTCAAAATTCCCTATATTTAAAAAAACAAGTTAAAAAGCAGTAAGTTCGGTCGGGCCGAACTTTGAATACCCTCCACCATTTGGAACGAATTTGGAAATAAATCCTGAAAAAATTTTGGTAAAATTTTAAAAATAACGAATATTGCCGTTATATTGGTGCCTATACGACGTGGACCCACACAGGCATTATTTGTCAAGAGTCATTACCAAATTCAAATTCGAAACTTGAAATAAACGCGAATAATGTAGCTAAAATCATCAAAGTATAGAATATAGGGAGGTACCGTTATATCGGAGCTGCGCGAAGACCTGAACCTGCGTAGACAATTTTTTGTCATATTCTGACATTTCAAACAACTTCGGTGAGTATTGTACCTAAACTCGTCAAAATACCGAATATAGGGAGGTACTGGTATATGGGGCCTATACGAAGACCTGGACCTGCATAGACAATTTTTTGTCACAGACTGGAGTTTCCATTACGAACTCTAAATGCGTAATTTGAAAAAATTTTGGTAAATAAAGACGCTAAAATCACCAAAATACCGAATATAGGGAGGTACCGTTATATGGGGGCTATACGAAGACGTAGACCTGAACAGACAATTTTCTGTCTTAGGCTGTAGTATCTATTGCGAACTTCAAATACCAAATTTTGAACAATTCCGATTAATAATGTCGCTAAAATCATGAAAATACCAAATATCGGGAGGTACAGTTATATGGGGGCTATACGAAGACGTGGACCTGCACAGACAATTTTCTGTCTTAGGCTGTAGTATCCATTTCGAACTTCAAATACCAAATTTGAAACAATTCCTGTGAATAATGTCGCTAAAATCATCAAAATATCGAATATCGGGAGGTACCGTTATAAGGGGGCTATATGAAAACGTGGACCTACATGGCCCATTTACGAACTTAACCTGCCTACTGTAAAAATAAACCTGTGTGCAAAATTTTAGCCTTGTATCTCAATTCATTCGAAAGATAGCGTGATTTCAACACACAGACAGACGGACAGACGGACAGACGGACAGACAGACAGACAGACAGACAGACAGACGGACAGACAGACGGACATCGCTAAATCGACTTAGAATTTTACGCTGATCAAGAATATATATACTTTGTTGTGTCTGACATGAGTATTTCGAGGAGTTACAAACGGAATGACAAAGTTAATATACCCTCCACAGTATGGTGGAGGGTATAAAAATTATTTGATCAAAAAGATAATATTCCTCAACATTGTCTCTGTATAATAAACAGGCATTAAGCTTATGTTCAAGTTTATGTGTATGATAAGATGTGAAATATTAAGGGATAGCATAAAGTTAGAACAAGAATGTCTAAAGAAGCAAGAGGGATGCAAGCAAGACAAGAATAACAAATTACTCAAATATTTCTTACATCGATTTTTATGCTAAAGTTTGCTTATTACAAGCCAGCAAAGAACATTTTGCCTTTGGAGCTCAGAGCTTGTGGTGTTTAAGGGTTGAATTATGTTTCGGTTAGACCAATCCCAAGTACGTTGAATACAAACAGGCACATCATTGCAGGGTCATTATGACTATGTAATAAAAGGGACTGGAATCGGAGTTTTTAGCAGGCAACTCTACTAATAAGTGAAATATCTTAACAGACGACTACGCATACACGAAGGCTTTGTTTTTGTTTGAGAGAATATTTCAAATTCTTGGCACAAAGATTATCCCAAGAAAATGTAAAGAATGTTGGCAAAAATGTTAACTCAATCTACATGGGATGCAGGCATGTGCTTAAGACTATAGCCCATATAATATAGCTTGTTTGAGGTTTGCTAGCTATAACAAGAAAGCAAATAATAAATTGTTTAGCGAAATATCTTATGACGTGAAACTGAAAATTGACAATGGCATTTTTATAGTGAATAAATAAGAATGTCTTATACATACCACATGTCCTTGGAGTTCTGCCTCTCTGTGAGATCTGTGTATGCCCAATTGATCTTGAGTAGACCTTAGACCAGCTAATTGGTTGTAATGGTGCAGGGGTGTGTGGTGTAGGGTAGGCAACGGTTGCCCGTACGGATCAGTTCCAAGGTACTCCAGAGCTCCATGGTTCTGTAAATATGCAGGTATCTAATCATTGTTAGTATAGTCTTTGATGTTTTTTCAATATGTAGACGTAACAGTGGTAATTTAAAATTAGCAATAATTACCTGTTGTTGTGGTGGGCTTTGTGTGGAGTGATGAAAAGGAGGTGGAAAATACGGGGGCTGAAAATCGGACTGCAAGGATTGATGGTGCATTGTAGCTGTCGAACTGTGAGTTCCACTATGACCACCGTGGCCTGTTGCTGGACCGCCTCTAGTAGCATGACTTCCAGTGTGAGTTGTATATGCAGGACTATTGCTCGACAATCCCAAACTGCCGTGACTAGTCAAACGTTCCTAGAATTAAATAAATTCATAATTTAGTTAACTATTTCTTATAAGCAATAAAAAAGTTTTAGGTGTTTTCGGTCTCCGTAAAAAGAAATAGAACGAAAACCACAATTCTTAGAAACGAAAACATATTTGTATCTTGGACGCCATCCTTGCAACAAATATGCCTATTTCGAGCTTCTTACTGTCTATTTTGTTCTATTTTTTATGAATTCAATGATTTAGGTTTTCAGAATGTTCTTACACAGTAATGCCTGTTTATATGAACTATTAATGGATGCATTTTCCAAACATTTTAGCAACTTATGACTAAGTGGCCCTTAGTAAATTGCATTTCAGTGATTTATTTATAGCTACATTAATTTGACTGCAAAAATTGATATAAACTGCACAGACATTATATCTATAGGAATGCTTTTAATTTAGCAATGAATTGGTGTACTTCAAACCAATTTTCCACATGTACCATAAAATCGACCCAGTCTGGAAAAGGCAATGTGATACCCCACACCACAATTTGTCTTTAGCAGACCTTCCCGTAATAAATATACATTTATTTTAATAATTTGTGTAAAGAAATTTGGAATTGAATGAAGCATATGCCTGCTTGTTATCTAACAATCTGAATTGATTTTCACTACATTTGACAGCGGCATTTTGTATGCTACATGTGACCTCTCGTTCCAAAACATTGCTATAGACCGCATATAATGACTTTAGGATGACTTAAATATAACCTCGAATGAGATATATTTTGGATCTATAGCTATATAAACCAATTCGGTGCAAACTCGGCGCACTCGTATCGTTTTATCTAAAATTGAACCTAGTAGCAAACACGGTTGGTGCATAATTTACCTCAACACTGGCATGTACATATATACATCAGTCTGAAGTTGGTTGAATTTTTTTCATCTCACCCAGTATATATATATATATATATATATATATATATATATATATATATATATATATATATATATATATATATATATATATACTGGGTGAGATGAAAAAAATTCAACCAACTTCAGACTGATGTCATTTCTAAGCCACTCGTCAGACAACTGTTAAAATTAATTCAGTGACAGCTCATTATATTGATTACAAGCGTATCGTTAGAGCTCTCCAGCATTTAAATATAAAAAAATAAATATTTCGTGTCTCGTACCATCGCTCGTTACCGTGATACTGGTAGCGTGGCCCGACGTCAAAGAAGTGGACAGAAGAAAACAACAACATTAGCTGAAATGGTTCGAAAAGTAAAAAAGCGACTTGATCGAAACCTGCGTCGCAGTGGCCGATAATTGCCTCGTGAGCTGAACATATTGCAGTATTCCATTCGGCATATATTGAAAAATTAGCTCGGGGTAAAGCGATTGAAATTCCAGAAAGTGCAAGAACTTACACCGTAGCAGAAAGAAAATAGACTCAAAAGAGCTAAAGATTTGCTTCGCTTGTCGAAAGCGGAAAACTGCCAAAATTTGGTTTTCTCCGATGAGAAAACATTCGTTGTCTAGCAGTTTGTAAACAAACAAAATGATCGTGTTTACCTGCCAAAGAGGTGAGCTGTAAATGCACACCTTCTGTTGCCCACCAGAACTTAAGCGCCGGCCATCGTTCTCCGCTCGTATCAATCGACCGTGACATTAGAAAAAATGCCGAATATAATCGCAAAAATATTCTGGAAGCTGTATTAAAGCCTTGGGCTCGCAAACATTTTGGGCGCAAACCTTGGACATTCTAACAGGCATAAATCGACTGAGAAAGTGATTCTATGAAGATCCTCAAAAATAAATATAGGTCTATTTCTCTTCCTTCTCCGTGTTAGAAACAAATGCACAAAGACATAACACCCTTTACACTATGTGGTGTAGGGTATACAAAATTAAATAAAAATATTATAATATATATTGTATAATATTATAAGAATGTGAATAATAATTATTTTAGTTACATTTTGTGATAATTGTAATTTTTATATTGCTCGCCTTTTTTATATGACCTACTGTATTGAATTGACTATTTAGTGCGTATGTGTTCACGTACAAAAACATGTAAAATTTACGATAGTAGATGGGACTTCGATTTTTTTTAGTATAAGAGGAAATCGAACCATTTTGGCAAACGGTTGTTAGGAGATGTTTTTTTGGTATGTGGGGCTATTAGAATAGAACAAAGAATAATTTTAAAACAATTCGGAAAATTTCGCAAATTGATTGAAGAAAATTAATGTATATATCGGATTCAACTCTTTTCCAGCGTCAAAATTCCATGTTACAAACAAATGCACAAAGACATAATACCCTTTACACTATGTGGTGTAGGGTATAAAAAATTAAATAAAAATATTATAATATATGTTCCATAATATTATAAGAATGTGAATAATAATTATTTTAGATACATTTTGTGATAATTGTAATTTTTATATTGCTCGCCTTTTTTATATGACCTACTGTATTGAATTGACTATTTAGTGCGTATGTGTTCACGTACAAAAACATGTAAAATTTACGATAGGGACTGTTAGGAGATGTTTTCTTTTTTGTATGTGGGGCTATTATAATAGAACAAAGGATAATTTTAAAACAATTCGGAAAATTTAGCAAATTGATTGAAGAAAATTAATGTATATATCGGATTCAACTCTTTTCCAGCGTCAAAATTCATATTTGCTATACTAAATTTAATAGCTTGATTGGTATCCCTTATGGGTGTCCAAGGAATATTTTGCGGATTTTCGATAAAGGTGCTATATAAATTTCAATTCAAAACTACTAGAAAATGTGATTAGGACCTTCAAACCACTTGAAATATACTGGAATTACATGAAAATACTAAGTTACAAGCACTTCAAACTACATAAAATCGGTCAGTGCCCCTACTATATAACCAAGTAAACGTTTACAATTTTTACATTACCATTCTCAGTTGGAACCATGAATACTAAATTGCAGCCGATTCGGTCAGGAAATGTGTCAAGAAACTCTACGATAACTAAAAAAGACCAATATCAAATTATAGGACCTATACCTAAACATCAACTATATTGACATTTTTACTATTGAGACAATTGCTTGATGAGCCAAATATCAGACTATTACTTTAAACAGAAAATATAGTAATTTTGGCTAACGAAGAGGAAGTTTTGCAAAAAATTATATTTGGACTAGTTGAGTACTGTTATATGTGAAATATTACGGAAAATCTAGATGAGTCAAATCCATTTTCAGAAGAGGTGGCATAATTTCATGAAATGAAAATGGCAATACAACAGTTAAACCATATCAATTATCTGGGAATACACATATCTTAAAATATTATTAACGCCAAGCAAAACAAGAGAGCAATAGTATTTACAGTGTTACCTCGTAAATACCGCTTGACACCAACATACATAAATTAGCAAAAAGAGATTCTATTCGATTACCAAACAATATTGCACCACTTGATTTGAACAATACTAATGGTCAATTCGTGGAAAAAACAGGCAACTTCATACGATCTTTGAGTCTTGAATATTGATATGACACTGTCGAATCGAAGTAGACAACTCAGATCTATTCAAAATCGAATCCGTATGTAGGTCATAACTATACAAACTCTAGAATGACGTTAGAGGAAAAATATACTAATAGTAAGGTATTAAATAAATTAGAACCAAACTTTTATCCACCTCATTATGTAACTTGATGGAAGCAGAGAACCTTAAATACCTTATTTATTATTTACTTCTAAAAACAGATGAAATTTCAAAAAAAAAAAGGAAATACTACTACTACCAGCTATTTGCCTTCATTTGCCCTTAAACATTGTGGATTTAAGAGAAATTGATTGAACAAGCTAACATATTTGAGCAAATTATACTTCTCTAAAACTGATCAGCAACGCGAGTCAGCTAGTATGATATATATGGGAGTTATAGCTATACCCGAACCGATTTTCACCAAATTTGATAGAAGAACTTCTATCACTAGTTTAACTTCCTGTCCTCAACAAAAAATATTCGGCAATTGGTGAACAATAAACAAGAAATTTTTTCTGGAAAATTCTCAACAAAATGCGTTTGTACGCTTGTAAACAATTTTGTTGAGAATTTTCCAGAAAAAAAGTTATTCGTGATTCAAGTGGCTATCGTTGGAGCACTCCAGCATTTAAATGTGAATAGATCTTTTGTGTCTCGTACCATCGCTCGTTATCTTGATACTGGTAGCGTAGCCCGACGTCAAGGAAGTGGACGGAAGAAAACAGCAACATTAGCAGAAATGGTTCGAAAAGTAAAGAAGCGACTTCATCGAAACCCGCATCGCAGTGGCCGAAAAATGCCTCGTGAGCTGAACGTATCGCAATATTCCATTCGGCACATATTGAAAAATGAGCTCGGAAAATTTTGAGAAAATCCTCTAGAAAAATCGAGGAACTGAAAATATTAACTGTTCTATTTTGATATCGAATTTTGTGTAGAATTGTTTCAGAATGCCTATTAGAATTGAAAATTCGTATTGAAAACAAGTAAAAAAGCTGTAAGTTCGGCCGGGCCGAACTTTTAATACCCTCCACCATTTGGTACAAATTTGGCATTTTCTAATAAATAAAATCCGTTAAAAATTCTGTTAAAATCTTAAGAATACCGAATGCTTATACGACGACGTGGGCCAGCATAGGCAACTTTTGTCATAAGTTATTACACTATTTAAATGCGAAACTTGAAGAAAAATCTGTTTGTAATCTAGCTAATATCATTAAAATACCGAATATGGGGGTACCGTTATATGGGGGCTATACGAAGACATGGACCTGCACAGACAATTTTCTGGCATGGGCTGAAGTATCCATTCCGAAATTCACATGCGAAATTTGAAACAATCCCGGTAAATAATGTCGCTAAAATCATCAAAATACCGAATATTGGGGGTTACGGTATATGGGGGCTATATGAAGACATGGACCTATATGGCCCATTTTCTGTTTTATGCTGCAGTATCTATTACGAACTTCAAACA